TTTTACTCATGATCATATTATTATAGTAGACAAAGTGTACTTTTTCTTAGTATTATTATTATATATTTTTATTGCTTAGATAGGTGGACGAGCTCACAGCCCACCTGGTGTTAATGGTTACTGGAGCCCATAGACATCTACAACGTAAATGCACCACCCACCTCGAGATATAAGTTCTAAGATCTCAGTATAGTTACAACGGCTACCCCACCCTTCGAACCGAAACGCATTACTGCTTCACGGCGGAAATAGGCGGGGTGGTGGTACCTACCCGTGCGGACTCCCAAGAGGTCCTACCACCAGTGAAAATATATTTATAATAATTATATTCAAATATTTAAATACCTATGCATCTTGTTAAATTTCGATGTAGTCAATAGCGTCGAAATTTAATAAAAGTATCTATTAGCTTTTATAAAATAGAAAAAAACCACAAAATATCTTAAATTAACTATCATTGCTTGTAACCGCCATCTTGCTCTTTTCCCGTTGACATTTAAATTCCGATATGTTCAAGTTCTAATTTCGAATGTTTTTTTTTCGAACCTTAAATAAATTCTCGTTTCTCAAATTGTTTTTTTTTTAATCTCAAAGTAAATGATTTCTATGATTTTCACTGTAAAGTATGATGTTGTATTCGCATTTGATGGCGACTTTTCTGTTTACGATTGCGAAGACCTAATATTAATACAGGACTTCCCAGGTCTTGGCTGTCTACACCTAGCCTGTAGACTCCTATTCTTTAACCTAGAGGTTGGGGCATACAAAATATCATCCTAATTACATAGGCGTCAAATTTTTTACAAATTATTTATTATATTGACGTTGCTAAAACACTTTTACCTCGCCTTATTGCAGACGAGCTCACGGTCTATTAAAAAAAAGGATATAGAAGTCTATAGACATTTGTGAACGCAGCCACTTCATTTGAGACTAGTTTTTTTTTTGTATTGGTTAGATGGATGGTCGCGCTCACAGCCCTCCTGGTTGGTGAAGTGGTTGCTGGAGCCCATAGACATCTACAACGTAAATGCGCCACACACCTTGAGATATAAGCTCTAAGGTCTCAAGTATAGTTACAACGACTGCCCCACCCTTCAAACCGAAACGCATTACTGCTTCACGGCAGAAATAGGCAGGGTGGTGGTAGCTATCCAAGAGGTCCTATCACCAGTAATTACGCAAATTATAATTTTGCGGGTTCAATTTTTATTACACGATGTTATTCCTTCACCGTTTTCCACCTACTTTTTTATAAATTATTTATATTATATTGAGGTCGATAAAACACTTTTACCTCGTCTTATTGCAGACGAACTCACGGTCTATTAAAAAAGAGGATATAGAAGTCTATAGACATCTGTGAACGCAGCCACTTACTTGGAGACTGGAAGTTAAATATTCTCTGCATCGGTTCATTGGGCCTTCAAGTGGAAAGGTTTCTTAGCGGCAGACTAAGTAATAGAATAGCAGCATCCATCCAAGCGGGTCACATTGTACAAGCCCTATCAGTAAGTAACTTTCTATTTTCAGGTTAATCTCTTACCTGCCATGTGGTATTTAATTTTTCCCTACCGTAATAATAGGTATTTACTATTTGTTCGTATAAATAAAAAGGACTTTCATACGCGAATTGCTCAAAGAATTCCTGTTACGTACTACGTGGTTAATAGAGCAAACTATCCCAACAAATATATGCTTTGCGGTAGAAATGAGTAAATTGTGGATATCAGTGCCCATGTCTATTAATAAAAAAAAAAATACATATATTGCTAAACTACAAAATTAACAAAGTGTCGCCCGTTAGTCAACTCAGGACAGAGACAAGAAAAGGCAACGCCAGACAAAACGGATTCCGAACGCTGCCAATTGGAATAGTTTTAAAAGTTTTGATTTTTTTACTCATTTTTAAATTTCGAAGGAATCCTAACGGTATCCAGCGGGGACATAACTTCGGAACGGACCGCGGACATGCTTTTTTGAATTATTTTTCAACAGACCGAGTGAGGTCACGTTCGATTTTCGAATCTTACTTTTTTTTATCGCATCTTTTTGTTTGCTACTACTGATGCAAAGATATTCGTGTCATGACAGCCAGTGGACAACATCTATTAAATAGTTTGCTTTATATCGATTTAAAACTGACGCACTAAATGGCCAGAGAGTCTTACCTACATGATGACGCGCAATCTAGATCTCGTCCAGTCGCTCCTGACTCCCATAATTTGTCCAAAATTAGTAGTACTACCCCATTATCTTTCTACCTAACTTACTTCTGAATCGTTGTCTAAGCTGTATATGTGCTATTAATAGGGTGTTCTGTGAGCTCACATGGACTTGTAATACCGTCCTGCCTATTTTTACTACGCAGTAATCACGAGCTATGGTCTAAAGGGCCGGGTGATCGAACTGACAATTTGACCATATATCAACATATATGGTGACATTCGCAATATGGCATATGAGTTCCGACGTTGACGTTAGATAGGCCATGAGCCCGTAATCAAACTGATGACCGTTAATACAATTGACACTTCGACCTCACATTGTCTCAAGTAGCAACCACATTGTAATGTCTATGGACACTAGTGATATCAGGATGGCCGTAAACTTATTCATCCGTCTGGAGCAAAAAAAAAACTTTTACTTGTTACGGATGTCCCAATACAATTTCATTTTTAATTTCCTAAAATATTAGTATTATATAGATTGAACACATTTCCAGCACACGTTATTGCAATACCAAAATAACACTTTATTTATACGAAATTGTAGTATGGTTATCTTTTCATTTCAACCAAAGACGATTTCATTTTAACTAATTAAATGTCATAAACGAAATTCAAAATTGATCTTTCATCAACGTTTCACAGGTTAAAGCGATAAAAAGATTTAAACTGGCAACTCTAATTGCGGTTCAACACCGGTCGAAATTAAAAAGAAAAGAGCGCAGAAAGAATCCCGCCTATTTTTAAAAATGGAACCCGACGATGATTCGCCTAATTAATAAACCAATCACGTACAGTCGAGACGCGGCGTCGAAGCGCGGCGGACGTGCGGGCGCGGGGGATGAACGCTCGGATATTCGAATCATTTTTTTTCTGCACTCGCGGCATACCAAGTTACTTCTCACTGACTTGACGAACGAACTAAAGCAACCTCAGAACACTAGTTTTCGTTTCATTACTTTTCTTTAATGAATTGAAAAAAAAAAGGTTTCACTAATTTACTTTGAACAAAAAGCTTAATGTTGTCAATATTTGTCTAAATTTTATTCCATTGTATGTTTTTGCAGTATGTTACGCTGCGTGATTAAGATCAGTAAACGATTACCTAACCCAATAAAAATAATTGATTTAGATAAAATAGATTTCATAAACTATTAATCACCAGATTTAAACTACGCAAGTCAGCTGATGTCAATGCGCGCTGTCGGAACGCTACAACGAAAGACAAATAAAAAAACAAGTCGGTAGTTAATCTTGTCAAATCAATATGACCAGTAATATTAATACTCCGAGATCGAGTTCCGAGAACATTGCTTCGAGAACACAACGGATTATGTGACACAGCACTACCTTTTCTTTTTATCCGACCGGCTTGAATGAAGTCAACAAAAGAACACATGCTGACACCGAAAAATTACCGAAAAACTTGTAAGAAGAGTCCATAAAAAAAAATTCATTTATCAAACAAATGTATTAGCCGCTGTGTATTTGCGCAGCGTGACAACAAAAAGATGTTGAATAATAAACTCGAATGTTGGCAGTACTGGGCCGAGGAAGGCCGAAGGGACGCGAAAAAGGCCGAAGATTAGCGAGCGCGCGCTTTTTGTTTGCATCAATCGATGCGCTCGCGCATTCGCACAATGAATAATTCAAAAATTGACATGAAATGGCGTATGGTTCTTTTTTTTTTTTNTGTATTTGCGCAGCGTGACAACAAAAAGATGTTGAATAATAAACTCGAATGTTGGCAGTACTGGGCCGAGGAAGGCCGAAGGGACGCGAAAAAGGCCGAAGATTAGCGAGCGCGCGCTTTTTGTTTGCATCAATCGATGCGCTCGCGCATTCGCACAATGAATAATTCAAAAATTGACATGAAATGGCGTATGGTTCTTTTTTTTTTTTTGTAAACGAAAGGTGCCCGATTGAGGACTGTAACCGACTGACGAATTCATCGGGCAACGGCTTTTTGCATCCGGTAATTACTGTATTTTCAAAACAAATTCGCAGTTAAGTTTCGAGACGAAAACAACAAGTCTCCCGTGACCTTCGAGTAATATTGTGACCGATAGTAATACAGTAGGTATATAGTAGTAGGACGTCAACAATAAATTAGTTACAGTCAAACCGCAAATAAAACTCTACCTTGACCGAAAATAAAATTCAGTACTATCCGATTAAACTGAACGGCTTAACTTGGATCGGCGCTGTATCCTCAATTAAAAGTCAAATAAGTCAACATCACTTGTCAAAGTTACACAGTACCGCAACGAGCGCGATATCACACAAATGATTAATTACTTAAATTACCAAACATTGTTTTTTTTTTATCGAAGGCACTCGTAACGTCTAGAAATCGGTCGCCGGTAACGATAAAAAACGAAATAATTATTCGAATAATGCTGTTAATGATGCATCGAAAGCTTGACTCGATTTCCAAGTATAAGTGATCTTATGAATTCTGTTTGCGATTGGGACGGAGTTGGTAGCATTTTTTGGACAAATGGCTTCATCTCACCACCGAGCGCTGTCAGGCTACGCGTGTTTTGGTTATGACAGCTTTTTACCCGTTTCCATGGAGATAATTTCATTATGATTTCGTTAAAAAAACACATAGGACCATCAAGATTATTTTTAATTGTAGAATCTTATCGAATTATTTTAATTGTTTTCGTTAGATTACTTTAACACTTACTTACAACTTGAATAGCATCACTAAGTATAGACTAGCATCGTCCAATTTAAAGAAATGAGCATAGCTAGTTTAAAACTTACTTATAAGATGAAAACGCCATATTTGTATCGACACAGGGCTGATCGTCCACCACGCCGGCAGTCGTAAGCATGAGGCTGTTCATTCAGAACCACTCGATGACAGAATCGATTATCGATTATCGATTGCACAACACAATTTATAAGTTCATTCGTTTCACAAGCGTCGTTGTGACGCTATCAAACATTGTACGTCACATCACTATGCGTTCTGCTTGAGTTGCAATTTACCTGAAAAGGAAAACCGAAAATTTAAAAATGATATTATTATAAGTAAAAACCACAATTAATTATAAACTTTTTAATTTAGTGACATTTTGATTGTGTTAAAAAAATGTAAAGCTCTACGAAGTAAACCAATTTTCTTCTAAGCATCAGGCATATTTTTCAGTATTTGTGGTAATTTCTAATTTAATACTGTATACTTATGTGCGTACACTTAATAATTTTCTTATTTGCCTGTTAGATATGTTTAGAAGTACATAATATTATACAAAAATGTAACCACTACTATATAATGATGAATCATTAGTGATCTATAATTTTCATAATAAAGAGGCAACAACGCCTTTAGTCTCTCGAAAACAAAAAAAAAGTAAGAAAATTGATTTTGGTATACAGTCTTTGTCTAGTTAATTCGGTTCGAATACGCGTGTCTAATACATTTTTATTTTCGCAAAGCAAATACTCCCTATGTCAAATCGAGTTGTTGAGTGAGTTCCCAATTGAATTAAGTTTCTTCCTAAATGAAAAATTAGTAAACGGGGCATAGACGTACAGCCTATTTACTTATAAAGAAGTACAATATCATACCGATACAGGCACCCATTTAAAAAAAAAATAAAAAAGGGTTTCGTCCATAATAGAAAGTATATTTGAACTGAAGCTAATGCTCTATATGAGACTCTGTGACGTGACAATTACATACTGTTACTTCATATTTCTAAATCGCAAGCTTCATTATCAAAAATCAGAGATGCCGAAGTCAATGACCTTATATGAACGTAACGGGACAGCTGTCAAATGTTTTCGCGATTGATTGTGGGTTAAAAAAATATATGAAGTCACATATCTCTTCCTGCCTAGCTTCGGGAGATCCACCTAACAGCCACAGTAAGTAATATGAAAATTACCAATGCTGAATTAAAATATTTGCCCAAATTTAATAAGACAGATTAATTTTACGGACAGCTTAGAGAGATTAAAACTTACAACCGTTTGAAAAATTTGCTGTATAATAATTTATAAATGCACACACTTTTTAAAAGGCTGCTTAGTGTTAACGTTAAAACCGTTGAATATTAATTAAAATAGAATTAACAAGTACAGACAGTAGTTAACGGCCGTCTGGTGTAGTGGTAAGTGACATGGTCACTACATAAGGGGGTCGCGGGTTCGAATCCCGCCAAGGGAAGATATTTGTATGATAAATATAAATGTCTTTTCCAGGGTTATGAATGTATATTAAATATATGTATGTGTATAATAAAAATCTTACATTTATTTCCGTTATCTGGTACCTGTAACACAAATTCTTTACGAACTTATCACGGGACCAGTTAAAGTGGCGTGATTGTTATTAAATAAAAAAAATAAAAAAATCAGAAGAATATGAGTTTCAAAAGGAATTTTCTATGTGATTATTTTTCAGAAAATAGATAACTTCAGTTTAATCACCAAAAATATTTAACGATTAATTTCAAATCCTGAATGATTGTTTTTCATAATTAAACATACCTTAATAGATTAAGGGACTTACAAAACACTAATCAAATTGAAAACTGAATGATAGGTTATACTAAATCCAACCATCTTAGTAAAGAGAATGTATTTCATTCAAAATGTACTTCTATCTATTAGTTGCGCTGCGTTGCGTTACGTTCTAGCCAACTAAGTAAGTACGATTTGAGAGTGACATTCTGATTAGTTCGCCGCATAGCAGCCAGTCAACGAGTCATCAAGAGATCTTTTACCTCACGTCAATACAACATTTTACTGCAAGTACATTACGACAGATAATTGGACTTCAAACTCACTTTCCAGCTAGTGCCCTAAAAATTATCTCTGAAAATCATGCATCTGGCTTAAAATGTAAGCTTTTAGATTGCCCATGTATTTTTTTTGGTTTCATTAGCTTTTAATGAATAAAAAAGTACGATGATAATATAATAAAATGTTGTATCGTAATTACTGAAAACCTACATGCACCTTTTATTGTAACTTAAACATCACTTTTATTATAATATTAACAAAACTATTAAATAAAACGAATAACATCTAATCTTAACACATCGGCCATCGATCCCTTCGTCAGATTCATGAGATAGCCACGACCAGAACCGGCTGGGCCGCCATATTGAATCTGATTGACAGCTGTCAATGTTGGCGGCACCACGACGCGTCACCGTGGCCGCGCTTTGCAGTACAAATACTAATAACATTTAAACAAAAATGTATATTTAAACTTTTAGTAAATAGGCAACTTGGGTGTGTTTTTTGCGTTAGAAATACATCTTTAAAATAACTTTTATTCATGACCTTCAGTAAGAAATAATCGTATGTTTAATTTTCACCAATAAATTAAGAACGCTATTTTAAACTGTAAACGTGTATAATTATTAGTAAATCGCTGTGTCGATTACCAAGCCACGGTTATTGCGATTTTCTAGAAAATAAAAAATTGAATTTAATTTTTTATTTTTCATCTAAACCTAACGTTATTAAAATAAATGACTTAGTGCATTCAATGTTGCAGAACCTGATAATAATATAGAAACGAGGAAAACCGCCCAATAGGTAATTCATTATGATCCCACTATTAGCTACATATATATATAAATTTGCGTTTATGGGGTAGAGTGAGGTCACCTTTACAATCTATACGAGATATTGGTATTTGGAAAAATACATTGAAGGATTTTCCTATAGCTCCCTTAATCTTATACCTTTAAACGAGCAATTCTTGTATATAAATACATATATAATCTGAATCTCGGAAACGGCTCCAACGATTTTCATAAAATTTAGTATACAGGGGATTTCGGGGGCGATAATTCGATCTAACTACGATTTATTTTCAGAAAATGTTGTTTTATTCGTGTTTTCAATAATCAACCTTATCGATAATCAACTTAAACATAAACTTTTTTTTATTGAAAGAAAATAACAAATAATATAATATCAATATGTAATTCGTATTTAAATATAATTTCTAAAAAACACAATTTATCAAACAAACAAAAAAATACCGGTCATCCTCTAGATAAATGTTTAATTGATGTTTCAATAAGCCCCCGATAGTTTCCTTTTGTTTATTGGTGCTTATTAATGATGCTATTTCCCTAAGCGGGTTGATGCGTTTTGTTTTTTCTATGTGCCACCAACATTTAATAATAGTTCCCTTGATTACTAATGATGATTAACAATATCGTACATTTTGACAGAAATGTGTGAAAAATGATTAGGTATAGTTGGCCACATAATGTTGCATGACACGCGTAAATATCTGTCTCTCTCTGAAAATGAAATCGAAAGAGAAAGAAACTTAGAACCAAAAACAATTAACACAAATAATTTATAATTAATAATCTGCTAGGTAAGTGTTACTTAATTAGAATACTTGTGATAAGGTAGGGCGTGTTGTTACACAGGTAGGTACCATATCACCCTGCCTCTTGGGTAGGTACTACGAATTTATCACCCTGCCTATTTTCGGCCGTGAAGCAGTAATAATCTATAAAGGGTTGGACAACCGTTGCTCTTTTGAAATCGTCGTGACCCTAAAAGATAAGACGCCCGGTGTATTCGTATCAAGTGATGCACCGGGGTTCGAATCCCAGGCGGGTACCAATTTTTCTAATGAAATACGTACTCAACAAATGTTCACGATTGACTTCCACGGTAAAGGAATAATAACATCGTGTAATAAAAATCGAATCCGCAAAATTATAATTTGCGTTAAGTACTGGTGGTAGGACGTCTTGTGAGTGCACACGGGTAGGTACCATCAACCTGTCTTTTTTCTGCCATGAAGCAGTATTGGGTTTGAAAGGTTTGACAACCGTTGGACTATAAAACTGAGACTTATAACTCATGTCTCAAGATGGGTGGCGGTATATACGTTATAGATGTCTATGGGCTCCGGTAACTACTTAGCACCAGGTAAGTCTTGAGCTCGTCCAACTATCTGAGCAATAAAAAAAAACCAGAACCACTACTATAAGTCTAATAATACACAGGGTTTATAGCTGCAAATAAAATGGAATTTAGCATCATTATTCCTTTCCCGATTGATTTTCAATGTAATTATTGCTTTCGATAAATAATTGTAACTATTCAAAAAAAAATCATAGAAACTATAAGCCTCTTTGTAGTTTAAGTCAAAACATAATTAAAATCTATACATAAACAAGCATTCAATATTTCTAAGAACTACATACAATAAAAGTTCAATAACCGTAATTAGATTTTCGTCACTTAAGCCGAATCGATAAAATCTAGCTACTGTGGTTTATCGACAATGGCTGTCACATCACTACTCGATATACCGATCGTTATCTCGGCTGACTGTCATGAGAAATCGCTGTTTTTTTAATTGTACAACCTTGAGCTTAGACTTTATCTATGGTAAATGATCATTTTCAGAATTTGTATCTATTTCATTAATATTATAGAAGAATTCATCGGAATTGATTGTGTATATTAAATAAAGCTTTTAAATTCTGATGCTTGGAGTCGTTCATAACTATAAAAGCTTTGTACATATATACATAAATGCTTCTTCGAAGCACGAGAGATAATCTTGAGTGAAAAACATATATAACAGCATCACTAGATCGATCTTAAACAGACTTCTTCGATACTGCTTACGCCTAAATACTGTATTGTATTGTTGAAGTTTGCACAACACCAACACTTACATATTTCATAAAGCAGCAATGTAAGGAAAAGTATGCACGAAGTCATCGAACCCAGTACGTCAGCTGATATTCATTTGATTTACATTACGTGCAGTGCAGTGAAGCGAAATACTTTGACGGGTCATTTTTCAGTATCGCCATCTTCTCTAAGCTTTTTGAGTTTTTCGAACCACTTAGATCAGGACAAATCTAGTGTAAAGTGAATATTGGAACATTACAAGGAGAATGCAAAACCACTGACCGAAATTTGATTTCTGGTATATTAAACAGCTCGTCCACCAATGAAATAGGTCTGCATGACTGCTTTACAGAAGTAGCAAACAGGATAGCGGCACCTCACAGTAAGCCTTCGATGACAAACTCTACTTTTTTCCTATCACTCGTCTGTTGTAGCGTTATCGGTGGAATCTTCCAGAATTTTCTCTACTCACTACCTAATTCCAACCTTCCTTATGTCACTTTTTTTATATTGGTCCATATCTTCTTGAGATTCCGCCACACTACTGCTCGACTGTCAATAAACGAAACATCTTTGTCGCCAAGCGAACCATGAGGTATTGTGACAAATAAATGGAAATCTATTTAATGCGGGCGTTTCAATAAAAGTCTTTGTGGCGAGCCTTAGAAAAATCAGTGATGGACGACTGGACGTTTCTTATCTTTTGATGATGAATAGAGTTCATATTATTTCATAAAGTCAACAACGTTCATATTAACTAAATATTGACGAAAGCGCCGTATTTAAATATGATTTTTTCAGCATGTTCTCTGTTTTAAGTTTATTCAACCGACGCTGGTAATGCATATTCAAGTTGAGGTCGTGAGGTCAAATACATTAAAATACCTCAGGTTGAAGTCGATTCTCGGGTTTTTTTGTTGTTGTTATTGACAACACTGTTCGTAGTGGTTTTTATACCAAACATTACGGTTTGATTATTACTTTTATTTTTATTTTAAGCCTATTAAGCATATGCATATGTATGTACTTGTGTTAAAAATTTCGCTTCTTCAATCAAAGCAGAGGTAGCTTTGGTACAAGATTAACCATTTTTCTCTATTTTATTAATTTCTTCAAAAATGGCTTACTTTGTAAGTACCTAATTAAATTTTTTTTTATTTTTACTTAAATGGGTGAACAAGCTCACAGCCCGCCTGGTGTCCAATGCTTAGCGGAGCCCATAGACATCTACAACTAAATGCCGCTACCCATATTAAAGAAATTAAAAAAGCGCCGGTTTTATTGATGTAATTTTTTTTTTATTTTTATTGCTGATGGTCATTTATGAATTTCATTTCTTGCTTCAACAGTTCGAAACATTGTCATCATTGTCGTAGCTCGTTCGATGTCAACGATAGTCTTAGAGGTGAACACTGTCGCCCAACTCAGGACTTTTACAGGATTATGTTTGAACAACACTGCGTTTCCAGAGATCTTTTTTGCCACGAACCATCCGGCTAAGGAATGAGCTCCCCTCCACGGTGTTTCCCTAGCGCTATGACATGTCCTTCTTCAAACGAGGCTTGTGGCTTGGCTCTGCCCTTGGCATTGCTGAAGTCCATGGGTCCATGGGCGACGGTAACCCCTCACCATCAGGCATCAGGTGGGCCGTATGCTCGTCGCCTACAAGGGCAATATAAAAAAAAAAAAAACAGCCATCTTTTACTTTTCTGCTGTTTTCGCAGATATGTCTCCTACGAACGCTGGCGATGTCAAGGACACAGCCAAGCCGCTGCTTCCACTACTGCGTGAAACTAAATGCGTGATTGCCAGTAGAAATGAGACGGTGTGATGGCACAAAGCTGATTCTAAGCACACTAGCTCCTAGTTACGTTGAGAATTTGGTCTATTGAAGTACTACCACGGACGTCTGATACTATTTCCCTTACAAAACTAGTACTAGCTGAAGGAGACCGGGATCCTACGGGTCAGTGACCTAGCTACTGATATACCGTGAACCTACCTATTAATTAACAGCGGAACAGATAGCTATTGTTTAAGATCCTCATCCCAATTAATTGAATTTAAACCAACAGGCACAAAAAGTTTGATAAAATCCAAATTTTGGCCAGTCACACCGTCAAATGATTACAAAATCCAATCTCAGTGGTAAATAATCATAGTAACTCTTGGAGATCGGGCATTTAAATAAGAAAAACCCACAGCCCTCCGTTAGTCGATACATAGGTTAAAGGATTTCCCATTGTCAAAACCCTACTAAGTTTCTCGCCGGATCTTCTCAGTGAGTCGCGATTCCGATCCGGTGGTAGATTCTGCGAAGCAATACTCTTGCTAAAGCCAGTCCTCCAATAACGTTTTCCGAATGAACTCTCAACTACCTATTTTAAAAATTCTCTACCACATTTTGTGGTATATTTTTTTAACGTTTTTTGAGTTTATCACTTTGCAGATGTCTATGGGCTCTATCTATGGGCTACTTTCAAAGGTAACTTTATTTCTTTAACGCTTAATACGATTGGAACCAAACTTGAAACTTATAACTTACTTACTTTTAAGTATAGCATATGTATAAGTTTAAGACAAAATTTACTCGCGCCAATTGACATGGTAATGCTCTTTTCGACATGGATGTTGGGCATAGATAAATATGTACCTGATGCCACAATGAACGTGATATTTTAGATTACAGCAACCGAAAGAAATTTCTTCAAAATGAAAATGAGGTGTATTTTCATTGTACCTACTGCTACCTCCGTGAAACTTTTTTTGTCAATATTTTATTACAATTATTACTTAAATAAATAAATGTATAGGTTTTAGGTAGTGTTTGTTAATGTTCTTTTTTTATTATACCGATTGACATCGAGTTTGTGTAGAAGATTATTTATGGGCCATACAGTTGTTTTGGGGTTTTAGGGAAACCAATAGTAGGGGAACAACCTGGTATCCAATCATGGAGTAAAGTTATTTCGTATGTGTCGACGGGCAAACGGATTCACAACTCATCTAGTTCAATGCGGTTACCAGAACCCATAGACACCACGATAGATCTTGAATGGCGCGGCCCTCCTTTTTATTTTATCTAATTTACGATTTCATTGAATCCAAAACAACGGTTTTATGGAGGATGCTTTTATGTTGTTGCGGAAAAAAATGGAATATCGGTTAACCCGCCCACGTGCCTTCGCGGCATAAATAGGCAGAGAGATGGTACGAAGATTTACCGGTTAATATCACGCCCTACCATTAATATGGTACGCCCAGCCATGAATACTCAGAAAGTTCCTTGATAATTACTTACGTGTTAAAACCTTAAACAATTATTTAACTGGATTTTAAACAAGATACTTTTCGAAATAACTCTTTGAATCTTCTCTAAGTATAACAATACTTTATTATAAAAACGTTATACTATTTATTTATTAAGTGAACATAAAATATATGTTTACAAAATTACAAAAAAAAAATTGATATACATAAAATAATACACTCTATTATCGATGATTAGAAATAACATTTTCCTTTAATCCGTGGTTAAATTTTATCAATTTTTAATACGCTGTCACATTTTTTTGTCCGGGTAGGTACACATAAATATTTGCTGGATTGATTTTTTTATTTAGTTTCCCTTAATAAATTGAGGTAAAGAGTATTTTTCTTTCGTTTAAAACGCTTTTCAGATATACCTATATAGAGCGTAAATTTTAATTGTATTCGAAAACACGGATTCTCCTGCGCTTACAATAAAATTCAGACAAACTTTTCATGTAAGATTCATGCTTACACACATACACATACACTATATCACGGCTTAGTTTGTAATTATTTTAGTTTGATTAATTCAGTAAATCTATATATATAAAAATGAATTCCTGTTCGTTAGTCTCGCTAAAACTCGAGAGCGGCTGGACCGATTTGGCTAATTTTGGTCTTGAATTAATTGTGGAAGTCCAGAGAAGGTTTAAAAGGTAGATAAATATGAAAATGCTTGGAATTAAATAAAAATAACATATTTGTTTTTTCCTTAATGTGTCCCTCAAAAGTTTAGGTCTTTATTTATCGATTGAGGCACTACGAAGTCTGCCGGGTCAGCTAGTTATGTATAAAAAATAGTAAGTATCTGAAAAGGTAAACACACCAAATAATATCTGTCTGTCTACATTTCCTTTTTATACTATACATATTTGTGTAAATTAATATATATAAATAGTAATTAAACTAAAATTAATATATATTTTTAATTTATCAATTATTTTTCATCTAACGTATTAGAATAGATCGCTTTTAGTGATAAGATGCCATTTATACGTCAGAGTTTGGTTAAATTGTATATTTTTTAAATGCAATTAAGTTATAAGTAATAATATCTACTTTACAGTTCCCTCCTCTTTATAATACCTATTTCGAGATAGCCCTTATTTTTCTTGGTAGTAATTCGTCTTCAGACAACATTTATTGGGTAATTAGATTTTTCTTAAACTGCTACAAGCTACGCTCAAACACTTAAAAATAGATATTATCTACAATATTTAAGAACTTACATTGAATAGAATGTGCAATAAGTATCTATTACACGAACTACTTTGAGTTACTTTTTTTTTTTTAATTGTAACACTTTTGCTTGACATGAGAATCAATTAAACAGAGTTCAATACGAAAGCTCACCCTAAACCCATCAAAGCGTGTCAACGCTATTACTCAAGTAACCGTGAAATTGAACTTTCAAAGTTTTGTTTTTTAAATTTAGAAATTTTGTTTTGACATTCGGATTTGACATAATACAACAAGAATTTACAAAAAAAATATCTTCTTTTTTAAATAAAAAAAAAATGCCGCACTAATAAGCCAAGGTAGTTTTAACAGATCTTTTTACGTAAATCAAAATACTTACATCAACTAAACCAGCGAAACGTCCCTGATGTCTTTAAGTGTTCAATGTTAATCGTTTATCTTATGATTAGGTATGTTACAACACCACAACGTACCTACCACAGTAAAAATATAGTTCCGTAATAAAATACGATAAACTCACAAAAGAAAGAAAAAAAACTTTTTCACTTTTATTTATTTCGTCTCCGTTTACACACACTTTCACGGTTTTTTTATTTTCATCTGTGTTTTAAAAGGCACACGTTGATAACGATGCGTATGAAGAACATATATATGGTCGGCACGGGCAGCGTGATACTACACCGTCGGCAGTGCACGATGGACTGGAGTCTCACGCGCAGCTCTACGCGGTCTAAAAGAATCCAGGTAATACAAACATTTGGTCGCTGCTATTTATTGCGTATATTAGTTTTTTTTTTTTCTTTTTTGTTTGTTACTTAGTTGGGTGGACGAGGTAAGTGGTTACCGGAGCCCATAGACATCTACAACGTATAAGCCGCCACTTGAGATATGAGTTCTAAAGTCTCAGTATAATTACAACGGCTGCCCCACCCTTCAAACCGAAACGCATTACTGCTTCGCGGCAGAAATAGGCAAGGCGGTGGCACCTACCCGTACGGACTCGCAAGACGTCCTACCATCAGTCATAATTAGTTATTTTGTTGTTCGCAAATGTTGTTGTATTCGCATGGATAAGTATTGGGAATTTCATTTAAGCTAACAACCTGAACTCTCTTGAAATACTATTTTAAAAAAAACGATTGCCCTATCTTTCAAAACGGAAGTATTTGTGGTAGGAATGGATGAGATTACCTACCGACAGACCGTCTAGTTTGTAGCACAACATATTCTGTGTTTAGATTTATCTATTAGGTAGCAAATTGCCAGAAAGTCGACGAAACTTTCAGTCTTGTTTAAGGCTCATTTCAGAGGTCATGTAAACTAAGTAATAACAGTATTTTTAATTTAAAAAAAATCATAGTTTTTTTTACAGGTTTAGTTTATTTTTGCTAAACATTAATGAAGGATATGAGGTAAACTAAATAAGTTAAATTTAAAAATGAATCTTGTAAAAAATGTTTGTACTCCCGAAAATACTTGTTTAGTGGCTGGTCGTAAGCACCGAAAGCCTCCATGAAACCAATCGCATATTTTAGTCTCTTTTCCGCTTCGTTATATTCAATGTCGAGTAAACGAGACGACAGTAACATCTCCGTACAATTTACATTCACCTTGATAATTTGCCATTATTTAATTCTGTCTTAAACGACTCTACTTTGCCTCACTCAAAAATAAACCAATATGCTTAGAACTTAAGTAGCATATTCGAATACTGCAATAAACTTTTGTTAATGGACAAATTTAAATAATGCAATTATCTAAAATGTTTCGTTTTTTCATCAATCTCATTTAGCACTTTTGATGTATTTATATATTTTAATATAAAATAAAAATAAAAAGAAAACGCATGGTTAAAACACGAAGCCAATAAATATTTCGGCTCTACGGATGTGTAGGCGCAGGTGGAGAGTGGACACGAATGATTAGCTACGAAGCTGCATCTCTATATTGTCTCTTTCTATCTTTAAACTCGGGCACGTGTGTGATAGAGACACAGCATATTCTTAAACGGGCCGTGGCTTTACTGGGATCTACCCAGATCGTACCATCGGAACAGGAAAACTTGCCTACATTTACGATATATATATACGTATTTTTTTTTCTATTTGTGGCTGTTAGTACGTGTTTTAATTTTAATCTCGTTTTTTCACTATATCTTCGCTTATAACTTGTTTTTTTTTCCGCCATATATGGTTATGTGAACATAAAAACAAGTGGCAGTTGTTCTGCTGTTTTATTTATCTCTAACTTCGGATAATTATATGCGGTTTACTTGACTTATTTAAATATAAAATCTCTTACTGAAATTTACATTAGTTAGTCTCTATAAGCGTTGATAATTTTTTTTAATTCGAAGTCGCATAGACCGACTCTATAGACATACTCTGTGTATTTTTTTTATTGTTCCCATCTCTTGGGCTGCTTCGTAAAATCCCTTAAACTTTTTTGAGTGCTCAATATACGTCAATGACAATATTTGGATTTGACAGATTTGATCTTTTTTTTTAAATAATCCCAAAAATTCCATTTTTGATTATGTATTGGAACTTTTTTCCCCCTAGCTAATCGGTGGTAGCCTACGGGGTAGACTACGCGCGGTCGGGTAGGTGAGCTCACGGTGCTAAATTTGAGAGAATTGCTAACACTGGCCTTAACAATAGCAGTGTTGCATCTACCATTGAGGACATCTGGTGGGAAACGCAGGGATGTGCTGATGAGTTGGAACATTTAGCGGTAACATGGAAATCGGCAAGAGACAGTCAGGTTTCAGCAATGAGAGAAAGATCGAGAAAACCGAAGCCATAGGAACTTTTTTTTAATTCATAAGTTGGGTGGACGATATCACGACCCATTTAGTGTTAAGTGGTCACCGGAGCCCATAGACAGCTACCACGTAAACGCCGCCACCGACCACATTAGTTCCAAGTCTCAGCTTTTTAAATTCAACGGCTGCTTCACGGCAGAAAATAGGCAGGGTGGTGGTACCTATCCGTTCGGGCTCACAAGACAAGTATATAATCATATCTTTACTGATAATCAATTGATGCAGTTAAATGATCGCAGTCTCTACAAACCAATTTTATTTACAGGTCTCCTCTGCCACCATTCTGTAGTGACAGTTTGTCTAAATAAATGACTACCTAATTCCTGATATGTCCACCATCGCGCGTTTTTCGGCATCAATTCTAGAGTAGATGTCAAGGGCCGCCGCCTTACCAATGGCGATGATATTTCATCAGATAACTAGTTAGAACTTATGATTGAGAAATAGCATTTAATTTTTTCCTCAATATTTTCTTCGTGTTTCTTAGAGAGTACTGCAAATAATTAAAACTGTCCTGGTAGCAACTAAAATCGCGTTTATTATTTCTCTTTTATGATTACCGACTTTTCGAATATTTTACGGTTTTGTGATCGCAGACGACCAAAGAGTTATTAGTTGACATTTAAATATTGTGCGTAGAACCCTCTAATCTTACAATAATAAATAAAAAGTTTTTTTTTTTATTTTAATTTAATTGTTACCAAATCCAAATTTGAAACGAACGACCTACTTATTCAAAAAATTTACATTGTTCTTACTATAAATACATATTGGTACATATTGAGCGTACAACATAATGATGCAATTTTTTTTTTATTTTTTTTATTGCCCTTTTAGGCAGACGAGCATACGGCCCACCTGATGGTGAGTGGTTACCGTCGCCCATGGACTTCAGCAATGCCAGGGGCAGAGCCAAGCCGCTGCCTAACTAACTATCTTACTACTACTAAGTAACGTACGTACTAAAAGTTTTACTAAGGAAAGATTTTACCCGAGACGATAAATTCGATAGACATTCTAATATGTTTGATAAAAACTGATGCATTTCACAAAGACAAACTTAAGCAAGCTATTATTTTTTTATTGTTTTGATAGGTGGACGAGCTCACAGCCCACCCGGAGTTAAGTGGTTACTGGAGCCCATAGACATCCACAACGCAAATGCGCCACCCACCTCGAGATACAAGTTCTAAGGTCTCAGCATAGTTACAACGGCTACCCCACCCTTCGAACCGAAACGCATTACTGCTTCACGGCGGAAATAGGCGGGTTGGTGGTACCTACCCGTGCGGACTCCCAAGAGGTCCTACCACCAGTGATTACGCAAATTAAAATTTTGCGGGTTTGATTTTTATTACACGATGTTATTCCTTCACCATGGAAGTCAATCGTGAACATTTGATGAGTACCTACGTATTTCATTAAAATAATTGTATTTCCAAAGTAACCTAATAGTCTGCTTAGTTAAGCGGCATTTTTTTTTTAATTTTTTTTTTATTGCCTTTGTAGGCAGACGAGCATACGGCCCACCTGATGGTAAGTGGTCACCGTCGCTCATGGACGTCAGCAATGCCAGGGGCAGAGCCAAGCCGCTGCCTACCAATGAGCTATAGTTACGGCATAACAGTGAGCTATAGTTTTTTTACGGAAACCATTAAAACGTAACAACATAAAAACTCAATGCAATTAAACAAACTAATGCAATTCGAATAAAATATAAAAAGTACTGCGTAGCGTTTCCTTTCGGCCACGTGACGTCTGTGATGTCACAATAGAATCACTATTTTTATTGTTCAAAACGAACAACGCAAGCTATCTTAGTTTGCTTACTGACTTATGACGTCACAGGATATCGAACCAATAATGGCCTGTAGGCTAAGAACCACTCCTAAAAAGTTAGGATTCAAGAAAAGCATCATTAGGTAATTATAATGAAAAATGGTAATGTTCGACGGAAATATTACAGAAGACTTTAATTTAATTTTAACTTTAACTTTCTTAGGACGAGAACGGTATTACGACCCGCACGATATAGGACCCTAGTCTGGCCTATTTCCACCATGAATCCGTCATGCACTGTAAGTATGAGAACCGATATACCTACTATATATACATTGGTAGGTAGCGGTTCGGCTCTGTCCTTGACATTGCTGAAGTCCATGGGCGACGGTAGCCACTCACCATCAGGTGGGCCGTGTGCTCGTCTGCTTAAAGGGGCAATAAATAAATAAAAATTGAGACTTAAAACTCGTATCTCAAACTAGGTAGCGGAATTCACGTCTATGGACTCTAGTCAACACTAGCTTGATCACTTGTTGACCCAATAAAAAAATAAGAAAACCAAGAGGACTCCATACAGAACTTCGTCCAGTTTGGAAAAAATGTACAATTTAAATGATATATAGTTAATTTGTAAACTAAGCAAAAGAGTTTACCGAAAAACCAGTTACATCGTAATAATAATTCCAGCTTTTGAAAAATGTCAAAATTTGAATGACCACTTTTTGCATGTGACCGTCCTGCGTGTGCCGAATGAATATTTATAACTCCATCTCTATACTGTCTGTTCAATGTTAATTAAGTTTTCAATTAATTAAATGGGCATTCAATTGTTTTACTTATTGCGTGTTTGAGTAGAACTTAAAAAGTCATTATCACTAATAAGTTACTTAATTTGACCGACCAATAAAGCTTAAGAGTAACGAGACAAATTTTAGAAGTTAGTATAGATTTATCAATGCAGGGGTAATCTATACTAATATTTATATAAATCTACAGTCGTTTTTACGGATGTTCCGTTATAACTACTGAACCATGTATCCGATTGACTTGAAACTTGGTATCCATATAGAAAATAC